CTTTGTTCTTATACTCCACATATGAGTGAAATCATTCGGTACTTGTCTTTCTCTGCCTGGCTTATTTCACTGAGCATAATACCCTCTAGCTCCATCCATGTTGTTGCAAATGGTAGGATTTGTTTTCTTCTTATGGCTGAATAATATTCCATTGTGTATACGTAGCACATCTTCTTTATCCATTCATCTACTGATGGACACTTAGGTTGCTTCCATTTCTTGGCTATTGTAAATAGTGCTGTGATAAACATAGGGGTGCATCTGTCTTTTTCAAACCGGGCTGCTGCATTCTTAGGGTAAATAAGGATCTATATATTTACGGTGAAAAATGTCACATAAGCAAGGTGACCATCAGGGTGTATTTCATAACCTAAAGGTTACATTCTTTCCACAGAGCCCCAGCGAAAGACTGAACACAGGAGAAATACAAAGGTCTGGCCATTTCATCCCAGTGTAAGTTCCTAATGGGCATTTGCTCCCAAGTTCTCCATTGAATTTACCAAGATCTGCATTACTGGCTAAGGTTCTCCCTACCCACTTCTGCTTCCTTGCCCAATTCTGTTTACAGGTGTCAGACTTACAGCATGGTCTAAAAGTTTTCCTTGCCTAACTAATGCTTCTTTCCCCTTTATCTCCCACAGGTGTTACCTTTCCATAAAGCTTATCATGGACTGAATTGTGAATCTTGTCTCCCAAAAATTCATTTTGAACCCCTAATCCTCAATGTGACTGTAATTAATGTTAGATAAAATCTTAACAGTGGGGCCCTGATCCAGTGTGACTGGTGTCTTTATAAGAAGAGGAAGAGACCCCAGGACTGTGTATGCACAGAGAAAGGTCACGTGAGAACACAGTGCACAGAGAAGACAGCTAACTGAAAGTGAAGGACGGAGGCCTCAGGAGAAACCAAACATGAGTGCACCTTGATCTTGGACTTCCAGCCACCAGAACTGGAGAAAATTAAGTTGTGTGGTTTAAGCCAATTTATCCATGGTATTTTGCTTTGGCAGCCCTATCTGAGTAATAAAAACCTTTGCAGTCCTAACTCTCTCAACATTGCTTCCCACAGCAATAAGCCTTTGCAGAGATACACACACTTTCAACTTCCAAAGTATGGCCATAACACAAGTTACCCTTAATGTTGCCTACCATCCTCTTGAGATCCAGAGGGAAAGAAATCCTAGCCAATGATGGAAGATAAAAGCTACTACTTCTCACTGCACCAATGTGCATTCCAAGCATGCCAACAGTGAATAGTACAGGTGCATCCATTCTGATAGTCTAGTGGTCCCAAAGATACCAGGGCTTTCTTTGACTGATTATAAGAACAGCTTTTCATCTGTTTATCTCATCAGGTGCAACAGTAGTTACACAAAGCAGTTAACATACTTCTGTTGACTCAGGCTGCCCTACAGAAAAGACAACCAGGAATTCACTTTGGTAGTGCCAGTTGGATTATACTCTTAACTTTTAAAGAGCATGGCATTCAAGAGTCAAGTGATCTAGGCATATTGAGTTTACCTATACCAGTAGGAACTAGATACCCAGGAACAAAAATCTTTTTTTAAAATGTATATTCTACATAACCACACGAACGGCTAAAACTAAAAAGACAGGACAAGATTTTGATAGTAGTGCATCTAGAACTCTCTTAAATTACTGGCTGGGGCTGTAAGTGACACAACCTCTTCTGGAAAAAGTCTGGCAGTTTCTTACAAAACTAAATATATACCTACCCTATGATCCAGCAATTCTATTTATTGCTATTTATGCAAAAAGAAGTAAAAAATACATCTACCCAAGGGATTATACAACAATATTCACTATTGACAATAGCCAAAGATTAGAAATAGTCCAAGCATTCATATAAAAGAATTAACAAGCAAACTGTGGTATATCCACAGAATGGTCCCAATATCCACAACAACACACATGAATTTCAAAAACATTATGCTGAATAAAAGACCCCTATCCAAGGAGTACATATTATATGATTCCATTTACATGAAGGCATAGAAAAGGCAAAGCTAATTCATAATTTTAAAAAAGTAATAATGAATGCCTGCCAGATTGAGAGGAGGCAGGGACTGACTGGGAATAGACTCAAGGAAACTTCCTGGAGTGATTTTAATGGCCTATACTTTGGTAGAGATTTGGTTTATGCAGGTACATGCATTTGTCAAACTCAGAAAACATAATTAAGTTTTATGCATTTTATTGCATATATATTTTACCTCTAGAGAAAAAAATACTGAACCACAATGACACACATGCTAATGTATTTAAGGAGAAATGTACTGATATCTGCAATATACTTTAAAATGTATCAAGAAAGATGGATGGCTGAGAGATGAATACCTGATAAAGCAGTATACCAAAAAGTTAATGGTAGAATCCAGTTACTGTGTTGACTAGTGTTGGCTCTAAAATTGTTTCAACTTTGTTGTATGTTTGAAACTTTACTTATTAAAATATTGGAAAATATATGTGCATGTGTAAAGGCTAACTACATTCTTATTTTTCAAACAGTATTGACACCTAATTTAAACTGCTGTATTATATCTAGTTGCACCTGCTAGCTCTATATCTACTACCTTCTTATCCAACATAATCAAATTTGATACTTTATCAGTTAATCAAAATGTCATCTACAAAGGGAAATAAATATATCGATGACTCATATCTTAGCCATTTTATTTTTAACTCTATATAAACATAAAATATTTTTCAATGTCATTGTAGATTTTTTAATTACTGTTCTTATCATTCTTATAATGCATCATATATTTCCTTTCATGGTTTATTCAAATTAGAAAACTTGACTTTGCAAAACAAATGAATGGATAATTCTTATCCATTTCTATATTTTCTTTTAGTTTTCTACCCTATAACCAATTTGGCAAAAAAAAAACTTATTTGAAATGAATCTTTATAGTCTTTCAAAACATTCATTTAAAAATTCCTCTTTTCCTTCTCATAGATATCATTTCCTTTTCTTTAGGCACCATTTAATAAAACTGCTCCATAAATTATTACCTACCTATAATAGCAAGTATACTTGGCATAAAGTGGTAAGATCAAAAGCAAATTGCAACTATATAATAAAAATTCTATAACACATAAAAATTCAACCAGATTTTAGTATTTTTTAAATGTTTGTCAAAAAGAAAAAAATAACACTTTCTTGTGTGTCATTCAGAGACTACTGATTACTTATATAGTAGCTCTAATTTCCTTTCAGCACAGTCTCATTTGATTACTATTGAGAATTTCTCTCCTGATAAATTCAAAATGCTGACTGGTTGTTTCACTTACTAAGCCCCCTTGAATTCTTTTATCTGATTATTGGACTCTAAAATCTCTCTCTTCCTTTCTTTTTCTTTCTCTCCCTCCTTCCTTCTCTATCTCTCATCTATTCACTCTCTCTTTGTGCATATGTTCCCCACCATTATCTGTACAGTAGATACAGTACACTGGCTTGCTCAACACTTACCCAAAGTAAGGAGATTCTCAGCCTACCATGCACCTAGCTGTGGCCATAGATCTGGACATTGAAGTATAGGTGAAAGTTCTTAGGGAATGCTTACTTTCCTGAATAAAGTCAAACAGGGATCTTAAGGAACTTCCAGTTTTCAATCAACCAAAACATATTCAGTTATTTTATGCATCCAATATTGTCTAAGTCGAGAAAATACTTCAAAAAGGTTTAATAAGGCTTAAAAATTTTTTAAGAGCTTTCTGTGTAACAAATGAGTAACAAGGCTTATGTTATCTAAGTGCCTGTAGAGAAAATGAAAGTTCCTATGGCCAGGATCCTCACCTGGTCCTAAACGATTGGTGATATAATTAGCCTACTGCATAGGCTACTGCTTACACACCTATTGGCAATTAGCCATTATTGTTGGTGATACTATAAAAACAACTCCACCCAGTGCTCTACCAGGAGGCAGAGGCAGAGGCAGAGATGGGTTTGCTGTATGAAGACTGCCCCACAGGGAGATGTGATTCCAGCACTCAACCTGCCACTGTGAGAACAAAGCTTGGTGTAATACTTTTACCCCTAACATTCTGTTGTTATTATTCCATCTCAATGAATCCAGCATGAACTTGACTGGGGCAGTTCCCCTCAGGCAAGACAACTGGCATAGTCAGCAGGATTTGCTGTAGACCAAAAAAAAAAAAAAATGGAATAAGCTGCCCTCATGGGAGGGGTACTTCAGTGGGCTGCCTTATGGATGGGGAGACACTCGGGTATGCCCCAGTGGGCATATGGTCCAAGGTGGGGTGCCTCCTAGAGGATTGGTCCCCTCCCCAGGACTTGGTGGAGGTGGAGGTCACACCCAAGGCAGTAGAGGAGGCCTTCTGCAAAACAGGGAATTCCTTAAAGAAACAGAGTGCCCATGAGATGGTGGGAACCACGGGCTGGCTATTCTTCACTATGTTAAGAAAGGCCATAAAGGCAAATAATGCACTCCTGTGATAAGCACAAGAGGTAAAGGACATGAAAGAAGAAAAAAATTCATTGATAACTGAGATAGTGTCACAGCAAGGTGCTATGGACACGGTAAAGGATGTAATGGTAGCACAAGAAGAGACAGCAAGAACACAGGCTGCAGGATGCCACAGAGGAAGTAAAAGATTTGTTGAAGAATGAGATGGCATATCTGTGAGGCGCTGTGAAGGAGGTAAAGGCCATGAAAGACAAGGACGTACTCCTGCAAGAAGCACAGGAAGAGGCACACCATGAGACCACAAGCTGTGAGGTGCTGTGGAGGAGGTAAAGATCCTTTGCAGAATGAGACAGTGGCGCTGCAAGGTGCTGTGGAAGAGGCAAGGCCATGAAGTAGAAGTTGTACTCCTGCAAGAAGAATAAGAGGCAGCATGAGAACACCAGCTGCAAGGTATTGAGGAAGAGGTTGAGAGCTATTGAAGACTGAGAGAGTGTCACTGTGAGGCACTGTGCAAAGTGTAAAGGACGTAGCGGAGGAGGTGCTCTGCAGAACAAGAGAGCTGCTATCAGCCCCAGAAATGCTGTAGGAGCCAGAGGAGAACAAGGAGGTAGAGGTATTGCCAGAGGCACCAACCCTCCTCTACTGAAATCCTGCCTGGTTGTAGTGAAGAAAATAAAGACAACCACCTCAGGTTCCTCCAGTAGAGGTGCAACCCCCACCCCCACCCCACCCCGTTTGTGGAGCACTCTATGCTCCACCCCATCACAGGCAGAGCTTGTGGATTTAGGCTCTCAGTTTCAGCAGAAACCTTTGGAGTCCATATCAGTCTGGCTCCTGCCCCTTGAGATGTAGGGGTGGATGGGATCATCCTTGCAGCACCACTGTCTCATTCTGCAAAGGATCTTTACCTCCTCCACAGCACCTCACAGCTTGTGGTCTCATGGTGTGCCTCTTCCTGTGCTTCTTGCAGGAGTACGTCCTTGTCTTTCATGGCCTTTACCTCCTTCACAGCGCCTCACAGATATGCCATCTCATTCTTCAACAAATCTTTTACTTCCTCTGTGGCATCCTGCAGCCTGTGTTCTTGCTGTCTCTTCTTGTGTTACCATTACAATCAGAGATGGAAAAGCTGGCTTCCCTGACAACTCATCCTGCCCTGTAGCAGCAACTGCAGAATGCACACCACTTTAGATCCCAGGGATGAAGGATACAGTGCTGCAAATGGCTCCCTCATCCCTCTCTGGGTCCATAGTGGCCACATTTGCCCCCTACTTATGGCAGCCAATACAGTGGTAGATTTGGGGGAGGTAGAAGTGGTAGAAGGGAGTATTGTCCACCACTGACAGGAAGGATCTAAAGACCCAGGTGAAGGTCACAAGGACTCAGATGTATGTTGATTAGGAGGGGCACGAGCAAACAGAGAAATTGGATGGGAAGTCAAATAGAATTTTACAGGAGCTGTGGCAACAACTGAAGTGGGAGCAGTGGTTTCAGCTGCTGAGGACCAAGAAGCAGAGACCAGAGACAGAGCCACAAGCCTGACCTGTATACATGCAGACTTCCTGCTGGGAGTGACCCAACCTCACCTGAACCCGCACAGGATGACAAATGAGTGATACAGTTGGACTGAGGAACATGATCAAGGCACCAATTTTACTGGACATTTACTACAAGAATGGGTGCAACAAATAGGAATAAAGTAGCAGTTTCATATACCATACAACCCTACTGGGACAGGCATGATAGAGAAGTACAGTGATTTGTTAAAATCTGACCTGAAGTCAGACACCAATAGTCTGTGGAGATGGTCAGTCCACTTATGGACAGTGCTACGGTGTTTGAATGAAAATCCCCAGAAAGGGGCATTGAGCCCCAGAGACATGCTAACACATACTGCTATATCCCTTAAACAACTGCAAGTACAAACCAAGGAAGAACCATTGAAACCAGGGTTTGGCCACCAGAATATTATTTTGCTACAAGCACCAACTGTAATAAACCTGAGAGACTCTGTTCAGTGGACATGGTGTTGGACGTTTTGACATGTGGACCAGTTATGACTGGCCCTCCCAGCACCTTAGGGTCAAGGCCTGAAGGCTGGCCTCTTACATATTCCTGGAGTAATGGCAAAGTAGCCCCCAAAGATTATGGTAGTGTACCCTAAATGACTGGAAGATAAGAGCATCTTACCGGGCAGTTTTGTTTTATCTTTATGGCCAGTTCATGCACCTCTAGTAGCATTATACATAGACCTCTCAGTGACTGCCACAGGGAGAGAGATAAAGGTACGGTATACTAGACTGGAACAGAATCCCCTTCCTGCCATTGTCGTATCACAGGATCACTCTCTTGCATGCATTTGCCTATATTACAGTGCCCTTGAGGTTAATCTTGCTAATGTCTTTGTGGATGGTGCACACACCCTAACAAAAACTGCTACTTACTCACTGGGTATGACATAACTTGCTATCAGTACTCCTACCAGCCTCCTGTGGAAAGTTCAAATCATGAACTGGGCCTAGTTTGAATACAGCTGGAATGACCACTTGGTGGCAATCAATCTCATCAGGCTTCAGGATGACTTTTATTATAATTTTTGCTTTTATCTGCATCATAATTTTTGTTGTTATCTGTATGTTGCTGTTACCTTCTATAGCTGTTGTGGAATCTGGTTACGATGCTACAGCTTTCTTGCACAGGACCACTGCAGAAGATTGAGGGCACATAGACTGTGAGGCGCGAATCCTGGAGAGGTGGAGTAGAGAGAAAATGAAAGTTCCTATGGCCAGCATCCTCACCTGACCCTAAACTACTTGATAAATGTAACTGGTCTACTGTGTAGACTCATGCTTACACACCCATTGGCAATGAGCCATTATTGTCAGTGTTACTACATGAAGAGCTCCACCCAGTGCTCTGTCTGGAAGCAGAAATGGAGAGAGACTGCAAAAGCCCCAGAGGCAGATGTGATTCCAGCACTCAACCTGCCACCATAAGAATAAAGCTTGATATAAACCCTTTTACCCCTAAGATTCCGTAGCTGTTATTTGGTCTCACCAAATCCGAAATGAATTTGCTCAGGGGCAATCCCCCTCAGGTGATTCAGTGCCCTATTCCATTAGTTAATTAGATTACTCATATATAATGAAGAAAGAGCAAAAAAAAAAAAGGAAGGGGATGGTGGGCATACATTTTTAGTGGATATCATATAATCATGCTTCTTAAAGTAGGATAAGTACATTTAGTACTATCCAAAGAAGTGTATAAAGTAACGGAATAAACATGTCACATTCTAATGACATACTCATTTTCTTTGAGTCCACTATAGCATATATTCATATGAAAACAACATGGATATAATATAGAAGAGAATGAAAAATACTTTGAATGGATATATATCTTAAAAGATATATATTATCTTTTTATTTATTTTATTAATATTCAAAATATTAATGTTTTGAATGATGTCATCAAGAAGAATCTTAAAAGTTAAGTTTCTGGACACTGATGACTTTGTGCTTTTTCCACTAACTCTTTACTAGTCAGTGTGAATAATAAATCACATGGTTGAGATCTCTGCTTTCTCATCAGCATCACTATATGAAATAAACGTGAGGAGATGAAGAACTCTCTGGTGCCCAGTGAAAGGTCTCAAAACAGAAATCTTTTAGGATTTCTCCCTGTCTTAATGACTAATCAGGAATGGTTAACAGAACAAATTATAAACCCTGTCTCCCAAACTTTGACTCCTGGGGCCAGTGAGACAGAGATATTTTCAGTGGTATTCTCAGCAGCAGGGGCAGAGGCAGCGGCACAAGGCCCAAACTCTTCCTGCAAGGCAACCTCACAGGTGGTTCTTCCTGCCAGGTCCCCCCAGTCCCACCTGCAAGAGCCTTGAGCAACAAACACAGACCACAGACTCAAACAACAGGAATAGCAAGACACCTCAAACAAGACATCATCACAGTTACATAAGGAATCACAATACCAGGGATTTAATAGTAAGTAGGAAGTGGTACCAACATTTAAACTGATGTTATTTGACAGTAATTACTTGTATTTTTATTAAGAATAACTGTACTGTTTTTCATACATTCCAAAGTGCTGGCAGGATCAGAGGAGGAATGTGTGGACCACCCACATCTGAATCTTATTTGTACTGGTTTAAAATGCAGCTTTGGTAGCTCACCCCAGGAGTGTATCAGAATCATAAGAGGGAGTCTGAGAGTCTGAATTTTAAATAAACTTGCATTGATGTATATGCAAATTGAGGTAGAGAACAACTGGCCTAGGTGGATTTTTACAGACATACTAAAACAGACCTTACACATGCTTGATTACTAGCAGTTAAAAGTTTTCTTCTTGATCTTCAGTTAAAACATCTTTAGTGAATGTCTGAATATCCCCTTCTAGCTCTGTAAATAACAAACTGTTATCCTCTTGTTAGGTAGAAAGATAGACATGAGCAGCCAGGGAAGGGGAAGATAAGGTTCAGGAAAAAACTGTCCAAACTCTGCCCAGGTCAGGGGTCCCACGTGAGGACAGCAAAGGCTTTCCAGGAGATAACTTCTCTGCCTATTGGGACCAGGCTAAAATGGTTCCAACCTGATCCCAACGTGGACACAATCAAACAAAACTAAGAACCATTCAAACCACACCTCATCATCTCATTAAAATAAAATTGTGGTTTTGCTTTCCCCCAACCCTGTGACTTTTCTGTGTGCATTTTGGGAAAAGATATGTTCATCAAGAGGAATGGGTATATAACTAGAGCTGTCATTCAAATAAACTGTCAATCAAAGAAGCTCCTCCAGGCTAGGTCCTGATCAAAAGGCCTTCGCCTAAAAGTCTGGGGACTTTGTCTAGCCAGACTCTGGTCCGCTCCTTACTTGGAATGTATTCAAATAAAACTTTTGCTGTGCTTCACTAGTGTGTCTTTGCTTTTCAATTCTTTGTTGTGGCAGGGACAAGAAGAAAGAGCAAACTCAACCATAACACTCTGAAATCAATAAAATATAAAGCTTTGCTTCCTTATTTCTCTCCTCTGTATATCTTCCTCTTTATAATCTTTGCCCTGGCAACTTACCCTAATAAAACTAAAAGTAAATAAATAAAAAGAGGGAAATGGCACATCGTTCACAAACTCTAACCTATTGTGGCATGTATCATTTATGTGATGAATTGCATATGCTTGTTCCTGGCTCAACAACTTGGTTATTTAGTTATTTCAGGGCTTTCAGTCAGACTCCTTGATTTATTGCCCTGGGAAATAACAACACAGTCCAAGACCATACAGGTATCTCTGTATGTATCTAAAAGAGGAGATAAATTTTATTCTAGAATCTAAGGCACAAGAGAAACCTCAAGAGGTTAACATGAACAATGCAGGGTCTTTTCTTTTTTATAATACCAAGAAGTAAAAGGAATAAGTGAACAAATCTACAGTATTCAAAAGAGGAAAAACTATTCTATTTTTTCCCCTTTCCCATAGAATGATATATCTGAGTCTCTAAAAGCACACTTTTACACATCAAAACCATAATGATAAATGTATGATATCAAATATACCATAACACTTTTATTTTGGAAGGGAAATCTCTAGAATTACACACAAATAAAAAATACATAAAAGAATGTCAGAGGCTTATTGATTTCAGAAAGGCTTTTAAGACCCTCTCTTTGCCCCTACCCTTCCTTAGTCCTCCCTCCAGGAAGGGTCAGAGTGAAAGGCCAGAACATTTTCACGGTCCTCAGTAGTACAGGCTGTGCTAGTCACAGTCACAAGGTCTTGAGTTAAAGGTGAGGGCCTGTCTGGGCCTCTTTGCCCAATGGGAGTCTTGGAGCATCTATTCCCACTGGGCTGCAGAAGAATCAACTACCACCAGGAGCTGCAACACCCTAAGAAGGTCTCTAGTGAAATGCCTAAGCCAATTCTGCTCCAAGTCTTAGAGGGGACCAAGCAGCCCTGCTTCTACTTGGTCATCACATACTGGTGAGCCTGGACTCTTCTCATCATGTAAGGCTAAATCAGAGAAACCAGAGACTGTCTGGGTTTAGAGTAAGTGCAACATAGATAACGGATTCTAGAATGAGGTCTATCTCCTTTAGGTATAAAGAATCCTCAACATGGTGCTGCCTAGCTCAATAAGGGTTTGGGAGAATCCTATAATAATGACAAAGTGCTCTTCAGCCTGCCTGTATGTCATACACCTGTGTATCTTCCCAAAGAAAAGAAACAAGGATGAGCTGGAGGGCAGAAGACAGGGGAGGTGACCCTTTAAGAATAAGATGGTGGGACTGGCAGTCCTGAGTTCAAGCAAACTCTAGGTTTGCCCTTCTCACTAGATTAGCTGGTAGGAACTTTTCCTAAAAAAAATACTTGAGTTAAAGAAAGTTGCACATATATACATATATGCGTGTATAAGTGTGTGTATCTGTATGTGTACATAGGATCAATAAATTTTATTATTTTTATCTCTACTCCAATTATAGTATTTCAAAATACTCTGTCACTCCATGCTATGGTATATTGCAGGACAGTACAAACAATATTTTGTGATTAAATAGTTTAAAGTGAGAAAATGGATAATGACACATTTTAAAGGTCAAAATCTTCATGTTTCTTTTTTGAGAGGGCATCTCTCATATTTATTGATCAAATGGTTGTTAACAACAATAAAATTCAGTATAGGGGGGTCAATGCTCAATGTACAATCATTAATCCATCTCAAGCCTAATTCTCGTCAGTCTCCAATCTTCTGAAGCATAACGAACAAGTTCTTACATGGTGAACGAATTCTTACAGAGTGAATAAATTCTTACATGGTGAACAGTACAAGGGCATTCATCACAGAAACTTTCGGTTTTGATCATGCAATATGACCTATAAACCATCAGGTCAAATATGAATATTCATTTGATTTTTGTACTTGATTTATATGTTGATCCCACATTTCTCCTATTATTATTATTATTTTTATTTTTAATAAAATGCTGAAGTGGTAGGTAGATGCAAGATAAAGGTAGAAAACATAGTTTAGTGCTGTAAGAAGGCAAATGTAGATGATCAGATGATCAGGTGTGTGCCTATGGACTAAGTATTAATCCAGGCTAGACAAGGGCAGCAAGACATCCACGGATGCAGAAGATTTCTCTCAAAGCAGGGGGGGTGAGGTTCTGAGCCTCACCTCTGTTGATCCCCAAATTCTCACCTGATGGCCCCCCTGCAACTGTGCCTGTCTTAGGTTGTTCCTCCCTTGAGGAATCTTACCCGTCTCTGGCTAACCAGTCATCTTCCGGGGCCATACAGGGAAATGTAAAGTTGGTAAGTGAGAGAGAAGCCATATTGTTTGAAAAGAAAATCTTCATGTTTTAAAATATGTACATACATACATGCATACTGTGCAAAATTTAATTTTTCCTTATCTCAAAAAAATTTAAATTACCTCATTAATATGGCAATAAGAGGAATTACTCTGATAGATATTTCTTCCAAAACATATTATATCCAAATTGTTTTTAAACCTATTTTCTATGAAATATATAAGCAAAATTGTGTGATGTTTACCTGTTATTACTGGTTGCTGCTATGCATATTCCATGGAAAACATTTGCCTTAAATAACTGAAATCACCTATCACTCAGGGAAATGTTTTCCTTTAAACTTCATTCTAGGAAAAAAAAAGAAAATGCCCTATTTATTAATACAGCTCTTCAAGACCTATACTAATAATGACATCAGTATCATATATCCTTTGTAATTACAAAAAACACAGGACTTGTTAAATATCCAAGATAAAAGACCTGCTAGAGAATGTTAAGGACCTTCTTTTATCAGAATAAGATGGACATTTCTTAATTGAGAAATATTAGCACTTAACAGCAACTTAGAGTGCAGTTGAAAATAAAAAGGACAATTCAATTTGAGAAAAATCATCCAGAGTCCAGTGAAGTGGAAGAGGCACAGGCCAAACATGACTCATCTCCACCATCATTTAATTCCTGAATACATGTCCTGTCAGCAATACCTTCTCCAAACATATCTGATAATAGATGCACAGAGAGAAGAAACTCTAATTACTGCTTAAGAGTACACCTACTGAGTCTCCTACATGCTCAGCAATAATACTTTGAGTACTTTCTACATGGATCTGCCTTGTATTTAGTAAGAGTTAATAATAATATCCAACAGTTAATAAGGATGTGTTTGTGCCAGGCACTGTGCCAAATTTTTACATGGATAATCTGATTTAATGCTCAGAAAAAGCCATAATACACTATTAACCTTATTTTTACCATTAAAATAACTGAACCTAAGACTAAGTAGACAAGAGAAATCACATACCTTTCAAGAGTTGGAGCCAAAATTCACAATCAGCCTGTCCAATCTAAGAGCCCTTCCTCATAAAAACTAGGCCATCTTTCAAAAATATTACATGTATTATAATATTTTACAGAGGGAGAAAATGAATACCAGAGTTTCTGAATAATTTTCCAAAAACTAATAGGTAGGTAGAGTTTTATGCTGGACTCAAAGCTGCTTATGCCCTGGACTGTGCCATATACTACTGCTCTGTCAACAAAAAGATAGAATCAGGAAAATAAAATTAAGCTTCTGGAACATAGTAATCCCTAAAATGAGATGCAGTTTTCACCATTTTCATTAATCCTTCTTTTATTTACAATTACAATACTCTGTGGAAGCAGCGTGTCAGCAGGAGGCAACATGCCCGAATTACATCACTCTCCAGGCAGGGACAACAGTTTCCAGACTAAACATTATTTTGAAATCACTTTGTACAAATACTGCTAGAAGATGCTATCACAGTTTTCAGTAAAGAAACAAAAACATATGACTCCTGTTGGGCATAATCTTCAGTCCCATGGTAAGCACTGAATTAACAGTTTGAAATTCCAAGCAAGACACAATAACACTGACTGCTAAACTCAGATGATGAATGGAACTTTTAAAGTCTATTTTTCTAATCATCACTAAAGTACATGTAATTTTCAGTCACCTTAAATGGTTTCTGTCTAACCGTTTCTATCAATCTACGAACATCTTTACAGTAATTGTGAAGTAGTTGCTAGCATGTAGAGTATATATCCAGTAGTTTGGATAAACTCAGAATGACTGGCATTATTACTGAGAAAAATAGAGACAGCTCAATTATTCTGAGCATAAATTAAAGAAATACAGTAGTTTGAAGATGAAGGAATTTAGAGTTCATCTAGTCCAACATTTTCTACTTATAAGAGAAATTAAGTCTCACGGATTCAATTATCTGATCTAACTAGAAAACCCTAACACTTATTCCTACAAACAAAACATCCAACTAGAAGAGTGTAACACAAAATTCTCATTAAACTGTTTATGCAGATACAAAACACATATGAAAACTCTTACTTTCAACCTTTTGACAGATCTATAAAGAAATTTCATAGACTACATATATATGGTACTTAACTGATAACCATAATCAAAACTTGACACATGCTTTATCATTGCTAACAAAGTTAATGTTATGTTCTTATTAAATTGATATGTCATAACAATTTATGTATGTTATATATAACAATATTATATAATATATTAATAATTATTATATTTTATAATATAAATTATATTTGTAATAATTATATTTTGTATATTATATACATAATCATATAATTGCATTATTAAGTATTACATAATTATATATCATATCTATAATATTAACAATGTTATAGATAGATAAATAACTATATATATATATATGTTATAACAACATATTATAAAAATTGATAGAAAATATTGGGTCTTGTTGGTTTTGTGACTTTGGCTGAAAGTCCCAGGATTTATGCTGACCATAAAGTGGGCAGGCGTATGATTATTGTTTCATGACATGACTACACTGCCTCATTCAGCACAAAAGTAGTGTTTCAATTCCAGATATTCAGATAGCCACCACAGTGGAAATTCAAAAAGGTTAACCATCAGTCAAACAGATTGAAATACTACAGGACTTCAGAGATGCAACGTGGTACTGATTACAGAAACATGATCAGTGACCTTCTGTTTTGAAATTGGACTTAGTTGTTTTATTTCACAGTTGTTTTATTTCACAAAGCCACTTGAAGCTTAAGTTAAAGCACGTTGATATATTTTTGTTTCAAAAAGTTCTGAATTTTTGCAATGCAGCTTGACACGACACTCAAGAGGGCACTCATACTTTCAACATAGTTCATTGCTCATTTAGGAATAAAAATTTTACCAATAGAAGGCACTTAGAGACCTACGTGTTCACCTCCATCATTTTTTTCAGATGAAACTGAGGCTCATAGGGATAAAAAACTTCTCCAAGTTCAAGTCTACTTTATGATACAGCCTCTGTGTTTTAAAACATTCCATAACATTAACATGTTTTACCATTTCACTGTTGTTTTAACATCCAATACTGCTCTACCGTGTAAGGTCAGAAACAGTTAAGTTTGTGATTTCTAGCATTAAGAAACAGGTCACATGAAGAGAAAACAGCTGCAGGAGAACTGCACACCAGGTAATCATCTCTGCCTTGGAGGGGAAAAAAGTCATGTTTTCTTTCTTCCTAAACACTAAAAGGGTTGAACTTATATGAGCTTTGCTTACATTCATCATGAACTTTTCTACTAAAATTCGGTGAGTGATTAGAGTGGGCCAATGTTTCTCCTGTTAATGAGCCAATGTGCAAGTATTACCTCTGTAAAGGAGTGCAGAGAGCATTAAGAGTCAGGAAAAAGAACTAATAAAACTTAGCTAAACCTTAACAGCAGACCATTCCGGAATAGTAAGAGATTCAATGTCTAAACTTAGAGAGAGACCAGATCAAAGGAAGAGAGAGCGAGAGGCCTGCCAAGGGCTATTTGAATCCTAGTTTACTAAATCCCCATGGTTTACAACCCTGATATCCACCCTGGCAGGGCCCTTGCTTATTTTTATACTGCTTCTCACTTTAGGTC